AAATAAAGATCCTCAGAAAATAAAAGGATGACTGAAATTGAGAAGATATACTTCAGAAGGAAACAATTTAAGAAACATCTAAAAAGCATTTATGGAGCCAATACTTTGGAATTCAGTTGCACTAGTATAAATACGGAGGAACTCCCTCTGCCTTTCCTTTTGTAACAGATTTGTAACATGCAGAATTAACAAAATAATAGAAGTAGTCACTGGAAATTGATAAATAAATTTTAAAACGGAAGGAACAAAAAAAAAATTAGTAGTTTGAAAGACTGTCATTCCTCGGTGAATTGTCAGAATTTTTTAATCTGCATTCATATCAATATACATGTTACTCACTACTGCAGTCTATGCTTACTAATTGATGTAATATCCATCGCTACATATATGGACAATATCATTGCATATAGTAAATATTAACTTATAAACTCCAAATTCCTTTGGAATTTTGACTAAGCCACTTTGTCAAAGAGCATAATTAAACCTCAAGATACAGAGACTGACATATGGCAAAAAGCAAAATATTTAAAATCCAGTTAGATCAGTGTTGCATTTTATCACCAAATTAAGTCTTGACATTTTCTCATAGAGAAAATACATGAAGCCTCTTGAGGTTTTTTTCACGGATAGAAAGCATAAAAGTTTCATGAACTAAATTTGATCAAGTTCACACAGAATCATCATCAATATTGGTTTCATCTGCAATTATCTACTAAAGGATTTTCTTTTCCTCTACATTAATGCAGATTTGACCTTGAAAAAAATATATACTGTTTAAGCTGTTATTCAGTTGTTTTGCAAAAAACTTTAAAGGTGGCAGGACTAGATTTTGGTCTAGATCATCATTCTAAAATATCTTCTTTTAATTTTCAACATACTTTACTGCGACAATTTTTGTGTGAAGAAAACCCCGTTTATTTGTAGAATTAAACAGCAAAAACCTTCACGATGACACAATGAACAACCAGTTATTCTAAATAATGTCTTCAATGTATTTCTGAATTGTATAAAATATAAAATGAAATATTACTAAACTATAGTAATTATTTTAGCTTTTATAGAGGCTGCAGTAATTCATAAATATATTAGAATAGCTTCTTGCCATTCTGTTATGACACATTCTGTTATGTAATTAATGTTACACATTAATTATAATAATATTTTTAATTGTTAATCAAATTTGGAGGGAGGGTTCTTTTTTTAAAAAAGAAAAATAAATGTGAAAACTGATCTTTTACTCTTACCCTGTTTAACTGGCCTAGTTCTGCTGTCATTTGTAATCTTTTTGAAATCACTCCTGATACAGAGTATCATGATACATACTTTCATAGATATCAGAAAAAGGACCCTCTTTTCTTACTGCACTTTTATAAGAGATTACTCAAAACGACAGGATTTTTTCCTCTGCTATTTCAGGTGGACTATTCTTAAAAGATCCATGCACTCCCACCATCTTGAGGAAGCTGGTTGGACAAATGTCCCCGTGCAGGTTAGCAAATAATAAATGTCAAGAATATTAAAATAATGAGATCATTGCCTGGCAGACAAACTGTTCTGCAAACTAAGGTCCAAGATACATAGACTGTGCAGCCAGAGGATATGACTGTGATAAAGGGAAATATACACTGAAATCCTTTAATCTGACCTTAGCAGAAAAGAGAAAGTGAACTGCAAACAAATCTAAAATTCCGTCTGCCTCATCAGCATGCTCAAAATGCCCTCTGCAGCCAGCTCAGGAGAAGAGAGGCAGAGCGCAGCCAGAAAGCTATCTCTGCGAAAACACCCTTGTGACCAAAAGTCTCAACAACGGGATGAAAGAAAGTGCCATATCAATTTCATTTCCATTCATCATTGTTAAGCTTGAGTTTAAGAAAGTTTCATTGCCCATAAATACTCAAATCATAAGCAGCTGCACAAGATATCATTTGAACACAGTTGCATAACATGTATTTCCCCGGAGCTTTGTCCTTAAGCTGCAGACTGACAGGCATCAGTGAGATCCAGCCTGCTTTTTAAAGAAGCCTGCGCAGCGTTTTTGCATTTAGCAGCTGAACCGAACTTCACAAAAGCAGCCGAAAAGAATTGGTAAAAGGTTGGGATAGATTGACTGTTTCCAAATTGGAATACTAATGATGATCTTTAATGAAGCCTGACAGTACAATCTGTTTCTTATTGTTCCCTAAGTGCTGGCTACTGATCATATTCACTGGCTTTAGGTGACGGGGACAGGCAGGGACAAATGGGCCCCACTAGTGAGCAGGACTGTGCACAGCTGATCTTTCAACAAGGATTAAATTAATTAAAATGATTCTCACATCAGAAGAATCAATCTTTTTATTTGTTATCATCACGGTGGTTATTAATTTTGAATGATGTCTAATTGGTGCCACTGATGTTTGGGTCAGCTGGCTTAGTAATCTGCTTAGAAAGCAGTAAAGAATACATAATTTTAGTAGCTCTGGCAAGGAGCAGGGGAGATGTAGGATAAAAAAAATTCACCAGCTTGATTTAATACCTCTCTAATAATGTAGAAGAACAATGGAGAAAGTAGTCAAAATACCTACAAGACACAAATGGTGAAAAATGACTTAGCTTTATTAATTTCACTGCTTTCAATACACTAAGAATTAAGGCCTAGCCACAACTGCTTCTTATCAGGATCACCTCAGATAAATATTTTATTATAATTTTGTTAATAAGCATTTACTGGACCTTATAATCTCTCTCTGTACCTTACAATGACATACAGACATTTTCATGAGGTCAGGGCACAACCTCTGACAGAAATGGTATATTACATAGTTTTTCTTGTTCATATTTGAAAGAAACACATATGACTAATACAGAAGATCTAAAGGAAAGCTAAATGGTAAATCTTGGATGATATGCACACAGATTGAAGTTTCTATTGATTGATTTCTATTGAAGCAAGTGATATCAGAATCTCTGATGAGATATAATTCTTACTTTTTGTCCATTTGTGTTCTATGCATACAAAATTGTTTATATCTTGCCAGTCTATAATCATAAACATGGAAGAAAACAAGTCATCTGGGAAAGCATCTATTTCATCAGTGAAATAGATATTTAGATGTGTCCATATGAACTAAACAAATTTTAATCCTGGTAGAGGACTGATGTTTCACCTCGCTCTAAAAGAGGCATTGCTCTCTAAAAATCCAATTTCAACACAGTATCAACACAGCTAACAGCACCCTTTCTCCTATTAGATGGGGACACACGCTAACCGCATATGCCATCCCCATGTACTGCCGCTGTGTGACTCAGCTCAGCCAACGCAGAGCTCCTGTCCAACACTCGCTGTGGGAACG